AGATACATAGATACATAGATGCATAGATACATAGATACATAGATACATAGATACACATATACATAGATACATATTCGCAAATAGATCAGATACAAGGATTTTGATATACAGAGGCTAATGGAAGCATCTCTTTCCAGGTAAACATAGTAATTACCTTCAATCTAGACGTGATTCCGAATCCGAATGTTAAATAGAGCTAGGCAAGGCATTTTAATTATTCTTATCCGATATTAGTCAGATTTTAATTGGCATCATTTTGGGTAATATTCATAAGAAGCACGTGCGGGAATTGGATTAATCAGCTGAGATACCAACTGTGGGATTTTTTGCTTTAAAATAAACCTTATGTCTGGCACTAGGTTAAGATAAATGAGAAGGGAAGTACGAATTTCGCACTATATAAAAACACGCAAAGAGGTCGGTAAACTCCAACTGTTAGCTAAGCCGAGGCTGAAGTTGCTTATTATTACAGTTTTATGAGCTAAATATAGGAAGTACGTCTTTTACGACCGTGCATGGTATAGTTATAAAAAAGAAGAAAAATAAAAACTTGAGAAAAACATGGAACGTTGAAAACGTTTCAGAAGTTTCCCATTCAAAATAAATATGTTTATTTCTTTATAGATTGTATATGAATATAAATATGTATGTACAATAGTAAGATGTTTATAGAGTAGTATATGTATATAGATATATGCAATTGAAACTGTATAGTTAGGTACAATCGTTCTTTGGAGTTAGCTGCCTGGCAATATATGGAGGGATTTACAATTTGTAATACTTTACTTTCGTTTTATAGTAATAAAACAAATTTTGTAATAGATTTTAGAGTTATATACAAGCAATTTATAGAAACATCTAATATATGTATATGTATTTTAGATAGTTTTACGTAAAGATGTGTGTTTTAGATATGTTTGGACATGTTTATAGCTCTGTTTTATAAAGAAAATATTATTATCTTATAGATCCCATTAGAGTATAGAGCACTTCAAGAAAAAATTAGATTGTATTCTGATTTTACCTATTAGAATAAGAGAGCTCTGTTCTTTACTCATCTCTTCTTTAGTCTTTACTAATTGAAATGAGTTAATATTGGTTTAAAATTGAAATATGTATATGTATGTCTCTTTGGATCCCATTATTATCAATGTTCTCTCTCTGTCTCTCTTCGAGGTAGCTTGAGAATGTATATTTGGATGACTTTCTCCTTCTCCTCCTCCTGCCCGCAACTCAATAGCTCAGATTGATGGCCTGCTGACGATGATAGATGTCGCTGCGTACGAGTATCTCGTATCTGGTGATGCGCACCTCCTGCCCGCCGAACGGGATGTGCAGACAGCGATGCGATTGCTGTATCTTGCCCGGCGTCAGGCTGCCGCAGTAGTGGGCGCGGCCAATGTACAGAGGCTCGCCATTGAAGGCGCGGCCCGCCTCCACAGCGCCGGCCGCGATGCTGCCATCGTAGCCGGGCACCCAATGGTATTTCGCCTGGCCGATGAGCACCTCGTACCGGGACTCGACCAGCTCCCGGCCGGCATGTGTGATGTAGGCGCAGCCACGGCTCGGCGCCGCTTTGCCCGGTATATGGGAGCCATCGTAGTAGGCGCGACAGACGAGCAGCGGTGCCATGTCGGTATCGTGGCCGCCATAGACGGCATCTGGTGGCGTATAGCCGGGACTGGCGGCCATCCACAGGTCATAGCCGGTCGTGGCAGCTGGTGCGCACACGGCGGGCGTGTAGCTGGAGCAGCTGGGCGCATACGGATCCACGCTCATGGGCGGCTTATATGTCTCTGCGGGCACAATGGTGGCCGCGTGGTGGGTGCTGGGTGGTGCGACGGCAGCGGGCGTATAGGAAGGTGGCATGCCGTATGGCTTGGCCGGAATGGGCACTGGCACAGCCAGCGGTCGCTTGTACTCCGGCAGGATGCTGGGCGTTGGTGGTGCCATGGCCGGTACCGCTGGCGGTGGTGGTGGTGGTGGTGCTGCTGCTGTTGCTGGATACGGTACTGTGCTGTGCGAGGGCATCGGCATGGGCGTATACTGTGGCGGTCTGTCGTGCAGAGAGAAGGCCGACGTGTCAAAGTCCGGCGGATAGGGATACGGCTTGCGTGCCACTGGCGGCTTAGCCAGCACCACTGGTGGTGGTGGTGGCGGCGGCGGTGTCAGTGGACACTTCTCGGCCAACTCCAATGCATCCGGTGGCGGCGGCAGCTGCCAGCCAGGCGTGGCGCCTCGCTCCTCTATCAGTATCTCATACGAATCCAAACGTCGCTCCGCACCGCGATAGGCTATGAAGAGCGCGCGATGCACTGAGGATATTTTGCCGATGATCAGGTGACCCTCGTAGTGCCCACGGCCAATGTACACCGGCTGCTCGAGGCTGGTGCGACCGCACAGCACCGCCGTCTCGGGTATCACGTGATCGTAGCACTTGACCCACACCAGATTCTCGCCGCACAGTATTTCGAATATGTCCTTGGGCAGGGCCTCGCCCCGTTGCGACACATAGCCGATCTGCTTCGACGGCATCACCTTGCAGACGAGCATGTCGCCCTCGTGCTCCGCCCGGCCCACATAGATCATGGCGCCGTCCTCATCGTTGCCGCCCACAATGGCGTTTGGCGGTATCGACGAATAGGCCGACGATTGAACCCATTTGTAGACTGAAAGGAGAGTGAAATGAAATGATTAATTTATAGAAATAATAATCAAAATATATATAATAATATTCATACACAAGTATCATAGATTAAAATCTATTTAGGTTAAAAGTTCCTTGAGTTCTTTGTAGCAGAACTTTGTATTTGTATAGATTTCTTAGTTTTCTGTTCATCTTTTGTATGTTTAAGTAATACAATCCTTTACCATCACTAGAACTAACGTAACTTCATCAACATTATCATCATAGCTCATCATCATCATCATTGTTTATCTTTATAAACAATAGCATCATTGCCCTTATCTTCTTCATCATCTTCCTCATTATTATCGTCAGCATTATCAGCTTTATCAACAATTATTATCACCTTAATCATTAGTTTTATCTTCATTAATCTCTTCACTTTTAGCACTTTCGTTGTCATTTTCCTCATTATTATCAAAAAGCTCTCACATTTACATGTATCCATATACATTTACTCTTCTATTCTATTCTATTCTATTCTATTCTACTCTATTCTATTATATTATATTCTTGAATATACGTAATGATTCGTTCTTAATCTAACTTAAATATAAACACTAAATCTGAATAATATATAATTGCTGACTCAACTACCGACAAAGGTTTTACTTGCTTTCTCATATTAGAACTACGCAAATGAAAGTCCATTTATAGTATTATGTAGAATATATTCTAAAGAAAAGATAGAAGATAAAGAACTCTAAAATAATATATTTATATATAAACTTTACAGAAATATACATATATGAGAATTCGATATATGACACGCCTAATCGAAGTTCTACGACTCATGTAGACCCAATTGATTGATTGTCTGGAAAGCTATTGGACTGTATAGCAGACTTAGCTTCAGAAACATTTTCAAATAGCTCCAACTTGGGTTTTTACATATTCAAATGCCCAACAGATAAGTGAAATGATATATGGGTATATATAATCAGTATAGCAAAGGTCAATAGAGAGCTTATATATAGAGAATATATATATAGTAAAGTAAAATTCGTATATGTAAAATGTGTTATATAAGCAGTCGCACTCTTTATTAAATTATACAAGTTATACAAAATGTGGAATAAACAGAAGTACGACCTAAAGTCTATAAAAATGATTAGAAAACTCAAATAGATATAGCCGTATATATCGCCTATTGCCTGCATAGCACCTCATACGAATCGATTCGTATTTCACGTCCGCCATAGGGTATGTAGAGGCAGCGCTGTCGCGAGGAGATCAGACCCGGTGTCAGGCTGCCCTGGTAGTGTCCGCGGCCATAGTAGATGGGTTCGCCGTTGCGTGCGCGTCCGGTGCTAACGGCATTCGGTGGTATGCAGTGTGGACTCCTGATCCATGAGTAACCGTAGCCGGTGAGCACCTCGTAGGTGGGCTTCTGGAACTCGTAGCCGCCAAAGCAGACGTAGGCGGTGCCCTTGCTGGGCACTACCTTGGCGGGCAGCATCTCGCCCTCGTGCATGGCGCGACCCGCATAGATGGGCGTACGGTCCGAGTCGTGGCCGGCAATGACAGCGCCCGGTGGCGTATAGCTAGCTGAGGCCGGCACCCAGACATCCTGCGGCTGGTGGATGAGCACCTCGTAGGTGTTGATGCGCACCTCCTGGCCGCCGAACGGTATGTAGAGGCAGCCGTGCGACGGATGCACCTTGCCCACGCACAACGAGTTCGCGTAGTGGCCGCGGCCCACATAGAGTGGCTCGCCGGTGCGGGTAGTGCCGCTCCTCACCGCATTCGGTGGCACACCGCCGCTGGCGCTGCCCACCCAGGCGAAGCCCTGGCCGACGAGCACCTCGTAGTGGGTCTTCTTGTGTTCGGTGCCGCCGTAGGCGACATAGGCGCAACCTTTGCTCGGTATGACCTTGGCGGGCAGGTTCTCGCCCTCGTGGAACGAGCGGCCCACATAGATGGGCGTGCCATCGGCGTCGTGGCCACCAACGACAGCGTACGGAGGCAGTGCGGCATATGGAGTCGAGTGCACCCACGTGTGTTCTGCAACGGATGGAGGGAGGTGTGTATTAGCCGTATCCAATGATAAGCGTAGATAAGATATAGCATTGATAACGCAGTGCAAAAGGTAGTCAAACGGAAAGCTTTATTCAATTTTGGAATTTCGAGTTGTTATATTTCTTTTTTTTTCGTTTTCGGATTGAACACTTCTTGCACTCGCCTACCAATTGTCACAACTGCTCCTGGCTGTACGGCACCTAAAAAACAAGTGCCGCCGATAGGGAGAGAGAGAGAGAGAGGGAAGAGAGAGAGAGACAAATCAAGAACTTGTCCATAAGCCACTTACACTGGTCTCTAGCTATGAGCTTATATCAAGAGCTTAACTTGACTCTATATCGATCTTTACTTATTGAACATATATCTAAGTATATATATATATTTATCGATTAGGTCTACATAGTGTCACTAACCCGTGGTAGTAGTGATAGTATCCTACCTTATACCTGTTATAGATATCAGCTATATATATTTTGTCTTTAATCGTATATAGTGTATGTACATATGTACAGATATATATGTATATACCTGATCGAATTTTTATCGAAACATACATTCATATTTATATTTTATGTACAGTCGACTCTCGAAACTCGAGGGACTCTTAAAATATTACGAATTATTGAATGCTTGAAATATTAAATGGTCTGAAATTTTTGAAAGAAAATAAATAAAACTTTGGATTATCCAGGGATATTTTACATCTTCGCAAGGTATGTTCAAATTAAGAATTCCTTGAAAAGAACGGTTCGAAGCACATTGCTGCTGCTCAGACTCTTCACTAATTTTTTTAGGAAGAAAAAGTGTCAGATATGCTCTTTGTAAGTTATCCAATGAGGCTCTTACTACCTTAACTGACACCTCTGCCATAGGCCCTGATGTATCGACTTTATCTTCATCGTTGCTCTATTCATACACGTATCTGTCATAGTCTTTAGTTAATCATATGCACACATATCGAATATAGTCGTACATTTAGTCAATATATCGTATAGAATATATATCGAACTACACTTTACATATATCACCAATAGATATAGAACATAAACTATCAAATAAATATATCATAATGTACTTTATTCTATATCATATATTGATATCTAAAAAATTGATGTATCATTGATGTAGCTATACATTTTTAATAGATATCGAAGTTTAGTATTCATCGAATATTTATCGAACTCTAAATATTCTTGAGTATTTGGCACAATTTCAGTTTCCGTATTCTCCAAGAAATCGCCTATATATACATATATGTATATTTAAATATATTTCTCGAATATATCAAGTTTACATCACTTTTAATATTATTAACCGAAATGAGTTTTTCCCACAACATATATGTATTACATACATCTAACTTATTTTTATGATCGTTTATTCATCGTCTGTTCATAACATACCCATGATTCACTTTTCCAATTGATAGGCGTTTGTCTTCGATTATTTATATCTATATTACTATTTATATATGTAAATATATATATATCTCAGTTGTATATTCGCTTGGTTCCACTGGACGCAACCGTCGAGTCCGCAGTATGTTCTAGTACTAACACTCGCAGCGGGCGTAGCAAAAGGTTTTGTAGTTTTTATCAGCTGAAACCTGGCCGCTCCACTCGCCTAGGCCTTTAATCGATGAGCTTTTTCGCACAGTGCATTCAGCGTGTTATTGACAGCAACTGAATCTTATCACTGGCCATAGTTGGGGGACTTACGGCACTTGTTTATCGTTTCCAATATAAAAAGCAAAAGCTCTTTCCAGTCTGTTCTGACTCATTTAACTGATAAGGACTTTATTTTATTTTTATTTTTGTTTTTTTTTTTTTCTCAACACTCATACACATATTTATAGATATCTTCTGATTTGTTTGTGAACAGGTGTTAGAGTCATTAATTTTGAAATATCTACAGTAAATAGCTGTCGAAATAATTATGACTAGTTTGTTTAAACTAAATGCTGAGTAAGCGAAGACCATGGGGTCCTTTGGACCTTCTGAGAAATCGCTAGAAAATTCACATTTAACTTTTTACTCTGCTCGATTTGTACTTTTTCCTAATCTATATATAATGCATTCTGCCTTTGCTATAAAATTCTTTGGAGCCACTCTTCGATTTATGGCACATCACATTATCATAGTATAAATAAATATATGTAGGTATATATACATTTATGACTGCTTGGAATTGTTTCTTTGAGTGTTATAGCCGCCATAATCAATATTTGTATGTCTACATATATGTACATGTATATAACTATAGATGATGGCGCCTGATCTTAAGACCTCAATGCTTTGATTTCCGAAAGAATTTTGGAAAGGATCGATTCTGCGAACGTCCTAGAAGTTTTTAATAATTTTAAAAGTTTAAAAACTGAATATATAATTATATAAATCATATAAATAAAAATCAAAAGTATTTAAAAATTAATAGATTAAATAGAAAAATAGAAATAGATAATATTATACCCAATAATCTTTTTTACTATATTTAAAAATATTTTCTGAATTATCAACGATTCTATTTATAGGCATAGCAAGCGGGGTTACTGCTGTTCAAATTAAAATTAAATTCTGGGTGAGTCAGGTGCTATGAGTCGAGAGCGAAGTCAAAGTCAAACCAGATGCTATTATTAAAGGGCTAAGAACAGAAGCAAAAACTCAAACAGAAACAGCTGTGGCTTTCGGTTCCATAAAGTTGCGAAAGTGCGGGCGAGCGTAATATTCATTGCACTTTCTTCCAATAAAATAGCTGTTTCTAGGGAGCTCAGTGCTTAAAAGCAACAATTTTAATGTGAGAGCTCGCATTTGAAGTACAGTTCCCCAGGCGAGAGCAGAGAAAGCGAAAAGCGGATATCGAAAATGGGTGAGCGATACGTTCGAAATTCGTCTTAAATACCAAGTTCAAGACGATTTTAGATTGTTTTTTTTTTATAGTCCAGGTAAATAGAAAACCTTTTATAAGCATTGATAAGAGGTAATCAGGCGATCGCTCAAAAGATAAGGGTGGCATAAAATTAAGTAAACCAGATAAAAATCCATTTATTTATTGATTACGCCAAGTATAAAACACGTCTAGAGAGACATACATATTTCGAGAATTTCTTTTGCGAGTTGTTTTTGCCATGATGACGAATAGCCTAGCCCTTCTTCATGTATGTATATATGTAAGAGTATGTATATATGTATATATATTTATCAGTCAGTCGGAAATGTTTACTCGGAAAAAGTGTCCCAAGCAACGAGTGGTTATCTTATCGTAGTCGCTTAACAACTGGGCCCAGTTGAAGAAGAAGTAGAAAAAACAGTCAACTGTTTTTTTCCTCTTTTCATTTTGTTCTGTCACTGATAAGGAAAAGTCCGTACTTTATAACACAAGTGCCAGCTGGAACATCCAGTCAGTCTATACAGTAACTGCGTAGAGAACGTTACGGACATATCGAATCGAGATCGATAGATCTAGAACCTACACATACACTAAGCAAAATGGGTAAGGACTTGAGCAGAGGATTACAATCACATGAACTAAATTAAATGGATTATACCAGTGCGAATATATATGTATATATTTATATTGAGTTCAATCTTAAAAGTTTTCAAGTAAAAACAGTGTCTTATAAAAATATGACTAACTATAAAGTATTTAACCAAAACAGTAACTGTTATACATGCAAGTTTTTCAAAGTGAAAGTTAAAACTTAAAACTGTTATATTTGTGTCAATCTCCTAAGCTTTACATTCAGTATAACAGCTAAAACAGCTCATATAACATTTTCCGTATAGCATCTCTGTTTTTATTAATCTCTCAAAACTATAATATAACAAATCATTCATAATAGCACTGACTGTTATACGAATATCGAAATCCTATACATTTTTACCAGTAATCAGGTGAAAGTACAGCTCTATAAACATACATACGTATGCTCACTTATCATCATGGCCACCAACTGTTATACTGATAACAAACCGTTCTATTTTTGCCTACCTAAGTACAGTTCGATATGTACAATTGTAGTTGTAGTCGTATATCAAAATTGATATATGACTATATGACTGTATTGACAGTGAAAATCCGCATAACTTAAAAATGAACTTAAGAGCTTAAATTTCAAAAGGCAACCGATGAATAATTCTCACGATTTTCAGCATATACTTCATGTGGGTCTTAACTCACACGACCGAGGTGTCATAGCTATGATGGTAACCTAGATACACGTCATCCCACAATCATACAATTACTAAGAAATATAATCATATCGAGGCACTTGTTCTAATTGAAAAAAAAAAAAAAGATTCATTTTTATGATAGAAGTTTACTTAGAACGTGGTTCACATATGAGTGTATGAAACATGAGAGGGCATATAAATCTAGCTGAGAATATAAGAACTATAAGAAAACTATAACTATAAGTTTATATGAGATATATAGGCAGTATAAGAACTATAAGAAATATAAGTTTATATGAGATATATAGGCAGCAGCACCTATACATATATACGTGAGTCGCATTTAATCAATAATATCCACTAAGGCTTTCACATAATATACGATTATAGTCAGCTTTACCGGCAAATAGACATTTATACGCTACTTGAATATAACTCTTATATGATAAGCATATGCGGCAATTATACATACATACATATACATATGTATATAGATATGTATATATTATTTACTCACTATCAGAATGTACTCGAAATTGGCTTTGAATCGGATTTTATCTTGCATTTGAACAAACTCCAGCAACACTTTATCAAATAGATTGCAGTATAACTGAACTAACATAGTCTATATTAGGTTTCTATTAACTAACTGAATTAACATAGTCTATATTAGGTTTCTATTAAACATTTTTTTTCAATTTGGCATCCATAAGAATTTATTCCACATAGAAATATTCACTGAGACTGAGCTTGACTCCTATTTCTTATGCTATGCCAGAATTCAACAAGACTTGAATGATCTTATACATATATATAGTATATGTATAAGAGTGGAGCTGTAAGCTGACACTTATACGGCCAGTGAGGTCCATACAACTCTTATATGATGCAAAGATCTGGAAATATGCTGGAATTCACTCAACGTTCCAGCTTACTCTTATATGAGTTCATATAAGTCGTGTATAAGTATACGGAATAGAGAGCTTTTATGCTGGCAGAGACTTATACGAATACACAAAGAGAGAGAAGAGAATACTTTGGCAAATTAACATATGTATATGCTGACACATTGAGCTTTATAAGTATATGCACTTATACACAGGCACAATGACCTATGTATATGTATATGCACTCAATCCAATATATAATAATACATATACAACTCTTATATTAAAAGATATGCATGCCATATTAAACTTTGTAAAATAGAGAGTAGATATTACCCTCCATCTCTCGCTTATACATACATATATTAATAAATTCCACCTTTTTCTAGAACACACCTGGATTGCCTGCAATGTTTACGAAGCTCTGCCGCCATTCGCCATCGCCGCTGGCCACGACTCCGACCAGGATCCCATCTATGTGGGCCGCGCCTATCACAACGGCGACATGCTGCCCGCCAAGGTGATTCCCAACAAGCACCAGGCCTACGTGGCCTGGGGCGGCGAGGAGATCTGCAAGCACGACTACGAGATTCTAACGGGCCATCATTACTGCTGGATCCCAGCCAGCAACGGGGAGGTGCCGCCTCATGCCCTGCGCGTCGGCCAGACCTCGGACGGTGAGCCGCTGTACGTGGGTCGCGGCTACTTCCAGGGCAGCCTGACGCCCGGCAAGGTGCATCCCTCCCACGGCTGCCTGTACATTCCATATGGCGGCGCCGAGCACAGGCTGGAGGCATACGAGGTGCTCGTCCAGCCCGAGACCTGGGTCAGTTCGTCCGGCAGCAATATTGTGCCCGGCACCATTGTGGCCGGCCATGACGTCGATGGCGATCCCATCTATGTGGGCCGCGCCTACCACGAGGGCGATCTGCTGCCCGCCAAGGTGATACCGAACAAGGGCTGCGCCTATGTGCCATACGGTGGACAGGAGCACGTGAAATACGACTTTGAGCTGCTCGCCGGCTACGGCTATGGCTGGGTGCCCGACTCCTTTGGCAATGTGCCCAGCGGCGCCGTCGTCTGTGGACGCACCAGCGATGGCGAGCCCTTGTACATCGGCCGTGGCCACTACAATGGCAGTTTCACACCCGGCAAAATCCATCAGTCTCATCGCTGCCTTTACATTCCGTTCGGTGGACAGGAGGTGCGCCTCGATAACTACGAAGTGCTCGTTCGCTCCTAGACTGATTCCGAACTCCAAGAAAAGAATAAACTGCAAAATTCATCAAGTTTTTATAAAAGCATATTTTTGATAGTTAAATTATTTGTCATCAAATTTATTAAATCTATTATATGAAATCACTCAAAATAAATTAAAATTATAAATACTATAACTTTGATATTTGAAAGCCATTTTCATAGCTCTATATATAACAAATCTACCCAAAAGTATGCAAGAGAAAGTCTCGACAGCTAAACTTTTATATACGCTCAAAACTTGAATGACATTAGCCAAAAGTCTACACTCATTAGTACAAATTACTCACATAACTGTGCACTCAATGACGTCGTGGAATGAGATTTGCATAACAGTTAACTCAGATACGTATACAATACATAGGAATTGTTCTCATTGACCACATAAATAACTTTTATTTCCCCTCTCAGTTTCGCGTTCACATTTCTTACACACATTTATGCATTTTACATGCACACGATTGAGCGCATTTTTAAGCTCTCTGCTGTCTGCTGAGCTTTTCACGCTCACCAGTTGTAGACTGTTGTAGAGTTGCCATGTCTCATGACTCTTCGTGTACGAAGCTCTCCACACGCTACGATTACGACACAGCAACGCTCACAACGCATTGGTCGCTTCTTAGTGGCGTACGGCGATTGGTGCGCTGCACGAATGTGCCGACGTTTTGATTGGCTGTCGGTCACTGCAGCACGACTCAGCAGGGCGTGCTCGTTGGCACAGACTCGAGGCATCTCTCGATTGGATTGGAACCTACGGGTACAGTAATTATGAAATTTTAATTAGTAACGTGTTTCTTTTTTCTCTGTATCTTCAGTTCATAGCTTGTTTAGGGCTCTGGTTTAAGTTGTTTGTGTTATTAGACGGCAAAACCAGGTTTTTGTGAGTGAAACCAAATATTCTTCAAATGTTGTAAATGCCGTCGCTTTGACAACAACCATTGGAAGTGGCTGAAACGCTGAGCGAAAGATTATGATATGATTTATTTATGGTAGTTGAAGTTCTATTGACCTAACAGGCCTTTTAATAAACGATATACACATGTACATAAAATATATATTTTAGTTTATAATTTAGTTTATTAATATTATGGTATCCCGTGGAAGATAATCAGCAAAACTGGATATTCCGAATATAGAGATGCGATGGTAGGATAAATGAATTATTAATTATTATTAAATATTGTTCTTTTTATAGAGAAGATAAAAATATATAGAGAATAAATATACGTACATTTAGATTGTTTGATTGATGGATAGAAAGATAGATGATACGTACATAGTTTATGGAGGGGTAAATATTGAAAAGAAACTCTGTGAATAGATAGGGTTAGGAATAGATGTGAAGATATGTATATGTGGGTATATAGAAATTAAGAAGAAAGGTGAGGAAAAACATTAGTTTATCATATGCGACCAAAAATATAAACTGAAACGCTTAGACAATAAATTGCTATAGAGCTGTGGCCGTCGGCATTTAATATAATTTTTAGTTTCTATCATTTTGGACAAATTAAGCTGAATTCTTAAGCCAAGTTAGTTTAAAGAATTTAATAAGTTTAAATCTTTCTAGTCAATATAAATTCTTGCAACTTAATTTCGATTTTTATTTTAGAAGACTTAAATAGTTGATTCCCTTCCGGTGCTCCCTCTACTCACACACACACACACGCATACAGCTCACACATGATGGAAGCTGGAATCCCGGCTCTGCTTATCAGCCTCAAATATCCATTTAGCTAAAATGTATTAAATAAGTAACTCAGATGCTATCGGAAGGGCATCCATTCAAAGCTGCTCCAGACAGAGGCAACCCTCGAAATAACTTTCGAGAAATGCTCGAAATTCCTGCCCAAAGCAACGGTAACAGACAACAGCAGCAACAGGAGCATCAGCAGCAGCAACAACAAACAACAAGAGCAGCTTTGGAATATCAGTTTCTTCTTCAGCAGAAACTGCGGCAAAAGCAGAGCAGCAGCAGCGCTGCAGGCACAGGCCGCGCAGGAGTGACAAAATATTTTGGCCTGTGGGGCTGTCGCTAGCAAAACACACACACACACACTAGCAGAGATACACAGAAAGGGAGACAGACACAATAAACTGTAGAAGGAAGTGCGTTGAACGACGACAGCGACGAATAAAGGCAGCAAGACACAAGAGCGCAAACACACAGCCAAACATATAACAGGGCAAAGTAAAAGGAGAGCGTGAGAGAGAAAGAGAGAGAAGGAGAGAAGGGCACACATTATCGAAGTAGCGAACTGCTGCTGCTGCTTATGTACTTCTAAATGAATGGATGAATGCTACAGCTACCAAGCGCTCTTATATATATACATACTGAAAATATATGTATGTATGTATGTATATAAGACAATGTATATACATAAGTATTTGCTTATGTGTGTGTGTTTGTGTGTGCCGCTACAATTAGTGGCGACAAGAATGAAAAAGAATGAAGCAATAAGCGCACACGATTCGGCTATGTGTGTGTGTACGTGTGTGAGTGCGAGGGAGAGTATGGGAAGGTGGAGTGAATGCAATGTGGGGAGTTTTTATATTGTCCCTTTGCTAACGGCAACCGGCAAGGACAAAAATTTGGTTAGCAGGACACGCTGTTAGGCTTAAGGGTGATATGAGCGGGTACAGCAGCGGGCATGGCTTAGGGCTTAATATTGGAAACGTGTCTCATCAGATGCTTCAACTGCAACGGCGATAGCACACACACACACGCACGCACACATTCAAGTAAGTTAGCGTGCGCGCGCGAATGTAGTGAAATGGAAATGCAAAGAAAAAAATGTAAAACGAAACGCAAAATGAAAAATTGTACATAAAAATGGAAATGCGACAACAACAACACGCAGATAGAAGCAAGGCATGGAATAACCCTCGGCTATGGGCGTGGAGTATATAAAATCAAGCTGGAAACACTCTTCCAACACACAAACTATATACTCTCGTAAATATGTATGTATGTATGTAGGTATATGTATTGTATGTATGTATATAGAGTATATTAAAGCGTACTGAAACGGCATTTGGTTTTCGGTTGCCTGCTCAGGCATCGTCGTCATCGTCGGCGTCGTTAACGGTAGTCGGTTTCCTTGTGCTCTAGGGCTCAATGCGACCCAGAGCCTCAAACGTGCGCTAGGGATGGTCGCGTGTCACGCGACGAATAGGCAATTCAATGAAACTAGGAATTAAATCTTTAAAATTTATGTAAGGTTACGCTAGTTTTAAAATTTAAATCAGAAATAAGATAAACATGCTTACATATAAATCAGAACATGACAAATATATTGTATGTACTCATGCAATGATTTAAAATATATTAAGGTATATTATAAATAGCTTCAATTAATATAATCTATATGATTCATCGCATCCACGATTATTTCGAATATCGCAGCAAGCGCACATCTCTAACACTTAGACTGGCACTCAATACTCTAATTAGTTTTTATCGTAAAAACCAGTGTCTAAAAATAACAGACAAACGCACAAAATTATGAATATGAGGAGATGGAGAAAACGAGAGCAAGAGAAGGGAATATTGATGAGATGAGTAAGAGGGGGAGGGGAAGGGAAAGACTGTGATCTGCTTCACTTGGCACCTAATACAGCTTGCGCGGGGCCTCAAATCAACTCAGGCACAGCACTCAACTGGATTTGGCTGTCGCTTATGCGTGATAATTCAATTAGGAATGTGTGAATCAGGCAATAACAACAAAAACAAAAGCAGCAGGCAAACTGCATCGCCGCAGCAGCAGCCGCAACGAACAACAACAAGAAGAACAGCTACATGCAAGCGGAAACAAACGTAGAAAAAGAATTGAACAGAAAAAAAATACTCTTTCCCAGCAGCCGAAAAAACAAACGCCATGTCCATGTGCATGCAGCAGACGCACACAGAGACATCGCAGTTGCATATGCAACCCTGTTCTACTCATTTGTGTGCGTGTATGTATGTATGTATGTGTGTGTGTGGTACAGGAACAGAATCACAATCAGAATACACGGCCTCGGCTCTGGCTATAGCTATAGCTATGGCTCTGACGGCCTGAAACAATTTATGTGCCATGTATTTTGTACATAAAAATAGCGGCCGAGGCGGCAGCAGCAGCAGCGGCAGAGACGCCAGCACTGGCTGAGGGGCATTGGACATTGACGTTGAATGGAGAGGGGGTCCATTTATGTGCGCAGCTTGCCTCGAAAATATTTCAACACGGGCATGCGACTGAGACTGGGACACTAAGTGCGCAGCGGCGTAGTGTGTATGAGTAAAAAGGGGTTGATATTGAAATACAAGCGTATAAATTAGAAATGCGCTATTATTTTACAGTGATTAATATATTCTATTCTATAATATATATTATATAGTAAAAAAAAATATTTATTATTTATTCATATACAAATGTTAAAAATTAGTATCTCCAGTTTATGTAATTTTAATTTAATAGCCACTCCTTTCTCTGGCACACTCATGTATATATAAACCCCTTTTATTTTCTCTAACATACGCCAGTGTCTTCTATCTTGAATCTCGCTGTACATACAAATACAATCATGCGAACACAGCTATGTATTGCATTCAATGTGCCCGTTGGTGTGTATGTGTATTCAAGTGTGCGGCACTGCGATAGCAACGAATATCAGCAGCAACGACAACAACAACTACAGCAACGAACATCGACCACGAGTTGGGTCTCGTCGTCGCATTACCAATTTAAATTCCCATCCAATGCCCGCACGTAGCAAAAGAGCCGGTAAGGAATAAAGCGACAGGCAGAAGGACAGAAAGCGGACACAGTGTATGAGAGAAAGAGAGAGAGAGATAGATCTACAGCAAGCGGGCGGCATAGAAGAAGAAACAGGCGCAAACACGACTGAATCTCGAAAAGAAAGAGTATTTAATGAGCGCTACTGTTTCGCTCATGTTTGTTGTTGCTATTCTTACGGCTGCTGCTGTGGTTCTTGTTGCTGTTGTTGTTTCTGTTATTGCTCGCAATGCCAACTCGATATGTTACAGTTGGTTTTTTTTCTTCTTTGCTATTGCTGCTCTCGCCCTTTTCTATCGCTTACTCTTTCTGGCTGTCTTTTGCTAATGCAGCAGTTGTTATTGTTTTATGTTCTATCAAATTAGGTTCATTTGCCAGTGCAAACGGCTGCCGCTGTCAGCGTCGCTGCCGCCGCTGCCTCCTCGACTACCTTGCCTATGCTGCTGTTTTGCTGCTGCTTCAATAGCTTTTGCCAAAAGCACCCTCTTTGCCAGTTGCTGTTGTTGGTTCCTGAAGTGGGCTGTGCGAGTGTTTGCCTGTGCGTGTGCTTATGCAAGTGTGTGTGTGTGTGAGTGAGTGTGCTTATCGACTATGTGTAAACCGCACGGCTCACTGGCTGCCCGGTTGCTTGGCTGCAGTTCCATCGTCAGCGTCGCCGTCGATGCTGTTATGAGTGTTTGTGTGTGCGTATTTCGTTATATACTCAAAGGCAACGTCTGAGTGGTGTATATAATATGTACTGTTAAATGTTGTATATGCCACCACCGACACCAACACCAACTCAACCACCACCACCACCACTGCTGGAGCTGTGGCATGCTGATAATTCAATAAGCTGCAAAAAATGTCAACATTTTTTACGAGTTTAGCACTGCAAATTGGCATTGAATGACACATACTCAATGCATATTGTATGTGTACATTCTTATATATGTACATATGTATATATTTGTATGTGAATTAAATATTTGCCCTGCATTTTTGCGCATATGACAGAGGCACTCAGCATTATGTAAAATGCACAAAAGTCTGGCAACGTCAGCAGCATGAGACCGCAACTGTGTTTGCTCTTATTCAACAGCATCATCAACAACTCTAACTCCGATTCCAGCTCCAACTCTAGCCAGCTACCACCCAGCGTCAGGCACAACTTCATTTGCAATGCAAACGCAGTAGGTGAACTGAATTGGAGTGGATTGAAGCCTGCGTGAGAGGGAGAGAGTAAGAGAGAGAGGTGTCGCAAGCAGCGTGTCGAGTCCACAGAGTGTCGAGTGTCTTGTGTAATCAACTAATTACAACGGCCGCCCAATGTCTGTAACACCAACAAACTCTCTCTCACACACACACACATACACATACAGATAAACATCCAGATACAGCTTAGATACAGTTGTAGACTCTCTGCCCGTCACCCGTCGTGCCAAAAGACAATTTATCTTGTTAAAATGACTTTTCAGCTTAAGCCACACAGCTCTAGCTCCACCGCTCACAGCACTGCAGCCGCCACTTGCTACAAAGCATTTTCGAAGAGAGCTCATCATTAGAGACAATTGAGTAGCACTCAATCGTCGAAGCCCGCCACTCAAATCAATCAATGGCACAAATGAGCGTGAGAAGGAGAGAGACAGCCGCGACAGCAAAAGCTGTTCAGTTCTTTGCGCGTAAATAACTTTCCCGTTTCATTCCATTTTTTTCTGCTTCTTCATCTTCTTCTACTTCGCGTCTTAATGCTTTAGCAATTCGTGCAGTTATTATTCTTATTTCCGGTTCAGGATTTTTCGTGGATTTCGTCTTCACCCTGAAAGGCAAGCTCTGCGCTGCTGCCGCTGTAAATTGATACTTTTTTTTTGGGTTTCACATTTTTTACCCACAGAGCGTGACGCAAAAAAAAAAATATATATATATAAAAATATTGAGACAGAAAGGACAGCTATGCGAGTGGGAGCGAGCAGGCATACAAA